AATGTTCTTGGTGTTTGATCTTTCTGAGCCAGTTCTCTAATGTTAGTTGCTGCTTTGCAGTAATCTAGCTGTCAGTGAGTAAACTTTCCCTGTCACATTTATAAGCAAGCGATGACATTCCTAAAGGTCTTTCTAACTAGACATTCTAAACAGGCTTCAAAAAGGTTGGCTTGATTTAGGTTAATAAAGAGCAGCAGTTGCCTAGAAGATTATAGCTCTTCTTGTACCATCTGTTCTATGATGCTGTCCATATTCAAAATAAAACTAAATAAAACAGTGAAGCAAAATTATATATAACAGTGAAGCAAAATAGGGCACTGCACACCAGAACAACTAGACACAAGGACAGTTTCCCCTCGAATTCCATCACTCTGCTAAGCAACTAATTCCCACAAGTCAAGGTTGAGTCAATCTTGAGTCAATCAGGATTGAAGGAATCTAACTCCTGGCAATAGTGAGCAGAGTTAGCCTGTGATACTGCATTCTAACCACTGTGCCACCATGGCTCTCATAGGCACAGTGTAAAAACAATTTTCCTGGACAATTAGTTTTGGAGGCAATAAGCTATATTTTATACAGAACAACCAAGCAATCATTTTTAGTATGTTGCAAAACTTCTTGCTTCACTCATTAGTTGTATTTGTTGCCGCGTCAGCTTTCTGAACTCAATCTTCAGTGTCAGCAATTGGCTATAGAAAAAACAGATAATCTATGTTCCAAGATTTCCAAGTAGATCAAAAATAGCAGCTCACTTAGTTTTCTTCCTGAGTATGGTGAGAAGTTTAGAAGCATAGTACTTCTTGACTTTGGTTACCATTGAAGGAGGACCACTGAAGATTTGCTTTGTTTGGCCTTATTTGAATTTGTTAACAAATATACAGAACAATATTCTAACAGATAGCCAAATTCACCCCCAGTGTTACTTTTATTGTTTGTTTAATGCTTCCCTCAAATCTCTATTCCAAGATGCATCTTCTGGTGGTGCCGTCTCAGACATAGAACTACATCATGTATATTTAGCTGGTAAAAAGGAGGAAAACTGTTTTTGAACAGTTTTTCTATTCAGAAATTACATATACATTCTTCTGCATAGTCTGGCTTTAAAATAGAGGTAAATCCAAATTCTGCAGATATAAACATGCCATGGCCTTAAAAGCATTTTCTACCAAAGCATTTTTCTAGCATTGGTGATGGATAATCAAGTTTACTATCTTTTACTATCTTTGGGGGGTTTTTAAACAATATTTTTGCCAGTTTTGCAACTTTTTTCTTTTGTCATGTCAATAAAAATTGTTAAAGGAGGGAAGCAATATTTAACATATTTTCTGATACGCATTTAGTTACACATTTACATCAGGAATGGAACTGCTGTTACATTGGTTCATTAATGTTTTCATAAATAGATGAAATGTGGAATATAACTTCACTCATTTTGTTTTGTGAAATTGCCAGCTAGCACGCCAAAGGCATTCCTTCTACTTGTGAAAAAATATTTTCCAAAATGTGAGACGCTATTGAGAACAAATAATACAAAATAAAGTAAAATAGTTTAATTTCATTTGCAAACTTATTTTGCTCCTCTCCATTTCCTTCCCTTTCTGCTCCCACCTCCCAAATTTGACTTCTTTATTTACTAAAATATTTTCACATAAATTTCTCAGTAAAATCTCAATTTGTTAAAGACTGTGCAGGTGCTACGCTGGCCTCAAAGATTTTTCTAATGAGGCTTTCCCATCTACTTTACATACATTTCTCAGTATGGATCGTAATATATCACACAAGATTTGATGTGGCCTTAACCCAAAAAGATTTTCTCCTCTCTTTTAGCTATCTGAGGTGATTGTCATAATCAGAAGACCTTGATAAGAAAATCTCAATTTCAATTTAATTGAAGGCTGCTATTATTCATAAAATGAGACCCTGATATTTTGGAGTGAAGAAATATTCCAACTACACATTCCAACTGCAGATAACAAAATATGTGTTTTCTGAGACTTTTCTGGAAATTCCATTTCATATAATAATAATTGTTTTTAAACAAATGCATTAGCTATTTGTTTAAAAATTGTAAAAAATGTTAAAAAGAAAAGAGTGAACCACTTGCACTACCAACCCTAAACTAAGCAATAAGTAACAGGATTTGCGTACTCAAAAATGAAATAGAAAAATGAGTTATCAGTAAACTAATGTTTGGAGATAAAAGCAACAGATTAATATTTTATATATTTAGAATATTATATTAATCTGTCCATATTTAGATGGATGGTTGATGTTAGGAAATCAGAAGACCTACTAAATGAATTCAAGGTGGCTTTCAGTTGAGGATATAGCAGCCTCAGTGATGCTTCCTTCAGCAATCGTCTTCACATTTCAGAATCTTTACCTTCTTCCATTCCTTCAGCTGTATGATTTAATCAATCTATCATCCTTTAGGCTTCTGTTACTTTAAAAGACTTTGTAGCAAAAAAAAAAGATTGTCTCAATTTGGAGAATAGGATATGAAGTTTATGGGTTTCATGACTGTCTTTGTTTATTTCACCTTTTGCAAACTTAGTAAGATCCAGATGTGTACCAGATCCAACATTCAGATACAGACTCTACTACCTCCAACCTACATTTTTATCCAATCATGCTACATGGTAATGATAGAAGCCATGGTTCAGTCCAGTTGCAGTGAGCTAAGTTGAAGAAAACATATTAGTCTTCTAATAAGTGATGGTTCAAATGCATTATAATTGGTATGCATGGAAATAGAAGTCCTTGCAAAGAATGAAAGCCAGCTAGTGTGATGGATACTTTCTATCTTCACCTTTTCTATTTGCTCCAGTAAAGTGTTACTGGCATATGTATTCCCATCTTACAGGAAAGCCTTATAAAGTACCCTTGTCCAATTCTCAAGGCCAGTTTTTGAGTGAGACTTTCACCTTCCTTTGGAGTGCATGGGGTATATTTGGCAAGAGGGTAGTTGCTATTCTTCAAGATGAGGGTTTCCCCCACACAGCTCAATGAGATACATATTTGTACTGTCAGGTATCATAAATCTACGATATATGAAACTTCCAGTGTGAAACTTTCAGTACTTTTTGTGGATAGTAAAATGTATCAATTGAAAGAGCAAAATGATATTGATTTCAGTATGTGTTTATCAACATGTGAAAGGTACTTTTTTTGTAATTTTCCATTTTTAACTGGTTGATTAAATTATGAGAAGAGTTCTAGAAACTGAAATGGTTAGCTTTCTGCTGCTGTATTTAGTAAAAGGAGCGTCAACAACTGAAAACTTGTTATTTTTCTTGTAAAAATCCAGTTGCCACTAAGGCCAGCTCATAGATTATTCAATAGGATATATCCTGTGCAACTGGTTGACACATCATTCTCAAAGACAATTGAGTTGCAGTATCCCAAAACATGATTAAGAAATGAATGTGATCCTGTGAAATTAGAGCAAGCCAAGTGGAATTACATAAAAGGCAAGTAATATAATAAGGTGTGGTGAGTGATATTGTTCTGACATCATGGCACTGGAGGATTACAGACTAATACTGCAAAACATATAATAGCTCCCTTCACAGTTCTACCCAATCTGAAAAACAGTGGCAATTATGTGTAAGCATTTCTAGGTCACTGAAGTGCTTCTTAAATACATGCCTGTGAACTGTTCTATTCTAAGGCCAGCCGCCGATACACAATTCAAAGCAATCATATATGAACATGAAATGTTATCTCCAAAGTATAGTGTGGATTCTGAAATTGTTGGGAAAAGAGAAGGCTAACTGATAAGAACATGTAATATGTGATGATAAATGTAAAAATTATGATTAGGATTGACTTATATTTCCTAAATTTAGTGGATCACATGGAAAATATGGATTGTTTCCATACCAAGAAGACTTGTCTTTGAGATGAGAGAAGCTTATAGAAAATAATTATATATAGCATTTTCACTGGGAGGACACTTCACATATGGATGAAGGTTCCATTCTAACCCATCTTTCAGGTTGAGTAGTTACAGGAAATCCTAGAAAATAAATTATCACCAGTCCTTATATTACAAGATATTAACTTTGGACGTTCTGCATTGCTGACATAAGTTGCCGTGCCCTTAATACAATATATGTCAGCCTTATGACTGTTTTCCTTATTCAAAGCAGCATGTTTGTGCTTTCCCTGTCATGATTTTTATATACTTGCTTATTTGACCTACCTGGTATGTGTTAAGGCATCAAAAAACAGGGAATATGGTAGGACGTAGTCTAGGTGAACCTATGGTCTTAGGAAGAAAAGTGCAAAATGGAGTGAAGAAAGTTTGGTATTGATTATATCCTTTTGTGGTCCTTTCAGGTTTTTGTCCTGGTTTGCCTGAAAGTTTTGTCCTGTTTTGTTGCCTGTTTGAAGAAGTCACAGTTCAGGCAGCTGTTGTTGTGCTGATGTTACATCCAATTAACCCATACAACTTTGAGCAGGAGCCTCTTGGTCAGTGTTAAGTCTGTCATAAAGGAGATGAGGAAGTGCTTTTGGAATGAGCAGATGCTCAGCACTAATTTATAGAAATTTAATTTAAATTAGTTTAAATATTAGTGGTAAATACTAGAAGGAAGCTTAGATAAGGTACAACAGACATTACTTTGCTTTATAGTAAACTATATTCTCTCATTTTATAAAACTGGGAATGAAAGAGAAACTTTATCCAACCTGTAGTGTCACTGTATCAAACAATTATTCCTGGTCTGTGAGGCCCTTCATAAGATTTTCAACAGCCAATAGCATTTATGCACATAAATACATGGTTATGTTGCTGTCACCTCTTGAAGGGAGAGCTGGTTTTACTGTCCTTAGGCATAGTATTAATGTCAGATATGAAAAGTTTGAATCATTATAGAACTGAATCATCAAATAATCTCCAAAGTGGATTTCTGTATGAACTCAATTGAAGTAAAAGTAGAAGTAGAAGTAAATCTGAAATAATAATTGTTCAAAAGGAAATTTATTTGTCTCAACAGATATCATAGAACACTAGTGATGCAGAAGAGATAAAATTGTTTTTCATTTCTATTAAAATGGTAATCCATATAATTTAAAATCAACACTGGGACCAAAACACTTTATTAGTCTGAAAAAAGCTATGTTGGCTAAAATTTTGTCAACTTTGTTTATATTTGATTCATTAAAGCTGGTTGTAGTTGGTCTGTTCAATTTTTTCTACTAAAATACAACAATACATTGGAGTGACTATTGAATAATTATCCTGGTACAAAAAATATGTACGTTAAGAATAAATATGCATACCATTTCCCTACAGAGTTGTTTTTAAATTATAAACCCACAAAAACAAGGTTGATGAAAGCTTAAAATTAAAAAAAGGAAAGAGGCACAAAATATATTGGTCATTAAGTCCTTCAGGATGTAGTATGATTAGTGGAGACCAGATCTTATGAGGCCAACAAAGAAATGTTTTCTTGTATTTGTACAAGAAAGAAAAAGTCCTCTCCTTTGTGGCATGGAAGAATAAATATTTTTATGTAACCTATACAACCTACATGTTACAAAAAAATTATATTAAAGCTGGACTGAGAATACTTCTCTGCTTTCCTCCTCTGTACCTCTTCCTTCTCTTCTAATTTATAATGCTGTATCCAAGCTTTCTATTAAATTCTCCTGTCAAATGATAAGCAGTGGCTTCCAGTGGTCTGTTCAAAAATATTTGTCTTTCAATCTCAGCTTGTAATATGTGCCCTTTACATGGGATTAAATAATCTTAATTTTTTTAACAAAACATTTAGCTGTCTACTACAGCAGCTTAGTCTTGTTCTACCCTCCTTTTCCTTCTCCTGAAGCAACTGAAAACACAACTATTCTCTCTGGAAATAACTTTCTGATGTCATCTTAAAAGAATAAAAATGGATTTTTCGGTTCCTTGCTTCTGACACCCTGTGTAGCTGCCCATTTAATTAACAAGCATGTGGCTGATGCTGGAACAATCAGCCATAATTTCTAGCTCTTCAGATAGAAATTCTTGGAACAGCAGCATCCAGGCTGTGTTGTGATTATTCTTTATCTCCCGTTTGTGTGAAGTTTTGACTTTCCCTTCTTCCTTCTTTCCAAATACTATCAGCTTGTTTGATGTGTGCTGAAGTTACCCATGCTGTGAATATCACATAAGTACCTCCAATTGCTAGATGCCTATTGAAAAAGGAAATGAAAACACCACCATTTTTCTATTCTTTAACACTGGCAACTGTTTCTCAAGATGATGACTTGGCTTCAACCAGTAGTGTCAACGCACACTTTATAAGGAAGCATATCTTCCAGCATGTACTTGCTGTGCTTTATAAAAGGTTTTAATACATTGTCAGCCTTTTCAACTGTCTAAATTTCTAGTTGTAATTTTACATGATTTAGAAAGGCAACTAATTGCTGTAACTGCTGGAATACGAAAAAGGGAAATACATGTCAGAAATATCCCATGATTGCACACCAAGAATTTTTAATCCACTTAAGGTTCACTAAAACGTGGACAACTCTATTTGCCAACTCTTTTTTTTTCTTGCAGGGTGTCATATTGCAAAGAGCACTGCTCAGTGGACAAAAGACCAGATCCATATATTTCAATTAAATGTTAAGTACACATCTAAGGCCTGCTTGGTATATGTCTAAATGCAGCAAATACATTTGCCAGCAAAGATATAAGACCAGTCATGGGCTCTGTATGAGGCAGGCTATGAGTTATAATCTCATTATCTTTGCATCATATAACATTTGTTTTTCCAAGAAAATCAGATTTTTTTCCTTTATAATTTATGAAATATTCAATTTTCACAAAAATGGATTGATTTTAAAGGCAAAATTGCTGCTCTGCTGCAGGGCCTTTGATCTGAGGAGTAATACACAGTAATCCTATTTGTCCACCAGGATCATTTCAATTTCTTTATGAAACCATGGAGAGATTGGTTTAGAACAGTGTTTTTCAAACTCTGCAACTATAAGATGAGTGAACTTCAACTCCTGGAATTCTTCATCCAGTTGAAGTCCAAATATGTCTTAAAGCTGCTGAGATTGAGAAATGTGGTTCAGAATGTTGAGATACCCCCAGTATTCAGCAGAATTGCATGTGGCCTTAAGACTCAGGAGCGATGGTTTGTATATATTTCTGGAATCTGAGCTACTCAGTGTTTGGGTGGCTGGCATCATCTGTGTTGAGGAGCACTTGGAATCTGGTTGATTTAGGAGAAGCACCTCTTTACAGAGAGAATAGCTTTGTTCTCATTCAGTCCTATGCTGAGCTGGCTAGCACGATGTGGGTTTTTTGGGTTCATTGAAGAGTTTATCTCCCTGTTTAGAAAGAAGAGACAGCTGCTCCAACCTCCTTCATTCTACGCCTCCTTTCTGGAGAAGAGAGGGCTAGTATGTCTCTGGTTGCTGAATTCCATGATTTTTCACCCCCAAAGAATGTCCTTTTGTGCCGAGCAACAGTCCTGAAAAGCCTCTCTACTGACCATAGCTATGCTCAACACAAACAGAGAGTTGATTCCAAAGAAGAAAATTACAGCAAATGGTTTATATGTTGCTACCCTCTGATTACTTTGATCATTTCAATGTGTGCTCTGGGTGAATTTTGTTAGTTGTTTGGATTTCTGAACTAAAAAGCAGGACATAAATTTAAAGAAGAAATAAATGATGAGAATTAGAGTTTGCTTTTACTCCATTGAAAACTGATCTAACACTGGAGAACTTGCATTTGACATTATCCTAGTCTCAGGCAACTGTGACATCATAGTTTTCTGCTCTCCAGCAGTAGTAGACCATAAAATGGTCTGATGTATATGCATAATAAGAGCTTGACTATTTATTCTATTACACTTATGTAATTAGATTTTTTAAAAGTCACAATTCCACACCTTTACAGTTACTGAATTGCTTGCATTAATGTCATATTCTTATTGGAATCACGCCACCGGGGTTGTCATATTTGAACAGAGCTGGCTGTATACATCATAACCATGTAATCAGCTGTGGGTGTATACCTTGTATTAAAATAATCCTGATGTCTGTCTGTAGATAGCGAGGTTCATGTAAAAGAGATGTAGCCTTGCCCATGATATTCTGGTCTAATGAGTTTTTCTATATATAGCTTCAAAAAGGATTTATGAAGGAGTGACAAACATGCCCTGCCAAGTGACCCAAAAAGACAACCACTCCTTGCACATTTCAGCATATTTAATTGCAGCTGAGCAAACAAGAAAAAGGAATGCACAATGGGTGGAGTGGTATCAGGGATTCCTTAAAATGTGGTTTTGTTGGTGGAGTGGAGGGTTGTTGTTGTTTTTTGGTAATTGTTATAACATTTTTTCTGTTAATTATGCTGAATACCGTTTCTAGTAGGAAGGCAAGTGAATAAATGCAGAATTAATCAAAATCTCAGACACTTGCAGGTAGATACAGCCACAATACACATACATGGTCAAGAGAGTCTTACTTAGTTTTCCTCTGTTCTCCTGCTTGGCTCAATTATCTCTTTGTTGTATAAAAGGTCACCCCAGAATAATTATATTAAGCAATCACCCAAATGACCTGTGGTAGTATTCCTTGTTATAAAGTCACTGATCAAAGAAAAAGGGTGAGTGAAAATGAACAATGCATAGCTGAAGTAACCCCATCTTTTTGACCCAGGCCATGAGTTTCTTAACCTGTTACACCCCACAGATTATTGCTGATTGGACTGCTGGGAAATAAATGTCATTGTCTTTCCTTTCATAGAATGGATTAACTCCTCTAGAAGATGCCAGGTTGCAAAAAGCAAATCTAGAATGGTCATAGGCTAGGACAGCCTCTCCCAGTGACCCCTTCGGGTTCGGGCTGGAGGGACTTGGGAAGGAAGCCAAGCTTGGGTCGGCCCAGCTCTTTTGCTTGGCAGGCAGGCGCATACCCGCGGCTCGCTTTCCTGGCTCTGGCCAGCCCACATGGCTCTGGTGCAGCCCTGGTGGGATGAGCGGAGGGCCCGGCAGGGAGGCACTCACTGCATTGGTGAGAGCTCCGCCGCCGGGCAGGAGGGCCCACCTGTTAGCTGTGCTGGGCATCCCAGGTGAAGCTCTTTGCGCTCTGCCCAGTGCCTGGCAGGGATGGCAGCTGGGCGCTTCTCCCGGGGTGGGCCGATCCTGCACTGCAGCCCCGGGAGATTTGCCTCCCCACGTGGGGTTGGGCTGCCCTCTCAGGCAGGGGAGGCTTTGTCGTACTGGTAGTAGGACGTCATTTTTAAAAGAATTGGCTTTGCCTTCGAAGGCGAAGGGAAGATGGTGACAGGAGCGCCTGAAGCCGAGTGTCTCCGCCGGGCTCTGGTTGCAGGAAGGAGCCCTGGCTGACTGCACATGGCTGCGCCAAATGCCACGGCATTGCTCTAAATGCCACGGCAGCACGGGAGAAGGGAAAGCAATGCTGGCGGAAGGTCTCCCGATACGAAGTGCCCCACCAACAGCAAGGTCAACATCCAAGTCGTCACTGCCCACCCACCCGAGGATGCAATGGGGGGGAAATTAAGTCACCCCCCAAAAGATGGCCTAGCCGTTTTTTCGGGGGTCAAAAAAAATAAGGCCCAGCCTTATTTTGTGAGAAACACAGTAAGTGCTTCTGCTGTTAAGAAATGGATGTTTTTATTCCTGGGTGATTACAAATAAGGAACTTTGGGAGAACATGGAACTCATTTTCATCCAGGATGAGACAAAGACAAAAGCCCCTTTGCCTTTTTGATACTTGTCAGTAGGTAAAGTCCATCTTTCAATAGCTGGCAACATAAATGAAGAACATTAGAAAGATAAAGCTGCCTTCGCTCATCTAGTGCCTTCCAGGTAGAAGATAACTATAATTCTCAGAATACCCCAAATATCTGAAGGCCCCAGGTGAAAAAGGCTGAGTGACAATGAAGGCAAATGCATTTGGTGTGGACTGTGTTTAATACCAGCCAAAAGTGCTTCATTCCTGTTATTTTTCATGCTGCTGCGATGCTGGTCAGAACAAGAAAATACTTGAACACATTATAAAATTACTTATAGTTTGTTAGAATGTGAAAATTACCATAATGGGATAATGTGGAAAAGACAATAATTAAAAGATAAAATCAAAGCAATGTTTGGCTAAGTAATATTTATTTTAAATGTCTGCACTTAATGGATATAATTATTTTAAAAGTAATCCTGAGTAGGTTTATAAAATCAACTATAAGTTCCTTCTAGATCAGTCTCCTAAGGCTTGGGCTACTTGATCATTCCATTTTATAGGCTGTTTAAAGGACAGTAGCATCTCTGGCATTCTTTCTGAGACTGTTTCCTCCCAAATGCACTTGAGTAGAGCACATAGCGTGG